GAACATGGAACATGGAACATGGAACATGGAACATGGAACATGGAACAGTACAGGCACTTTGGCCCACGATGTTGTGCCAAAATTTTACCCTAAACCTAAGGTCTATCTAACCTCCACCCCTACCTTATACTATCACCCGTACGCCGATCTAATAGCCGCTTAAATGCCCCTAATAAGGCCGACTCCACTACCCACTCCGGCAATGCATTCCACGCCCTGACCACTCTCGGAGTAAAGAACCTACCTCTGACGTCTCCCCTATATCTACCTCCACTCACTTTAAAACTATGCCACCTTGTAATAGCTATCTCCACCCTAGGAAAAAGTCTTTGACTGTCCACTCTATCTATACCTCTGATCATTTCGTACACCTCTATCAAGTCACCTCTCATCCTTTGTTATTCTAAAGAAAAAAGCCCTAGCTCTCTCAACCTTTCCTCTTAAGACCTTCCCTCCATTCCAGACAACATCCTGGTAAATCTCCTCTGCACCTTTTCCAACGCTTCCACATCTTTCCTGTAATGAGGTGACCAGAACTGGACACAATACTCCAGATGTGGCCGAACCAGGCTTTTGTATAGCTGGAGCATAATTTCACGGCTCTTGAACTCAATCCCTCTATTAATGAAAGCTAGCACACCATACGCCGCCTTAACAACTCTATTCACCTGGGTGGCAGCTTTCAGGGAACTGTGGACATGAACCCCAAGATCCCTCTGCTCCTCCACATTGCCAAGAATCTTTCTGTTAACCCTGTATTCGCTTTCAAATTTGTCCTTCCAAAATGAATCACCTCACACGTTTCAGGGTTAAACTCCATCTGCCACTTCTCAGCCCAGCTCTGCGTCCTATCAATGTCCCTTTGTAACCTAGAACAGCCCTCCACACTGTCCACAACTCGACCCACCTTCGTACTGTCCGTTAACTTACTAATCCATCCTTCCACTCCTACATCCAAATCATTTACAAAAATCACAAGTAGTCGAGGACCCAGAACAGATCCTTGTGGTACAGCACTCGTAACTGAGCACCATGTTGACTATTTTCCATCCATTACCACCCTTTGTCTTCTAAGGGTCAGCCAATTCTGAATCCAATCTGCCACATTTCCCCTATCCGATGCCTCCTTACTTTCTGCATGAGCCTTCAATGGGGAACCTTATCAAACACCTTACTTAAATCCATGTATACCACATCCACTGCTCTACCTTCATCCATGTGTTTGGTCACCTCTTCAAAGAATTCAATAAGGTTTGTGAGGTATGACCTACCCCTCACAAATCCATGCTGACTATCACGAATCAAACTGTGCCTATCCAAGTGATCATAACACCTATCTCTCAGAGCCCTTTCCAATAATTTGCCCACCATTGAAGTAAGACTTTTTTTCCTTACGAGTTGAACGCTGGATATTTGGCCCTGTAAATGAATAACAGTAGACACACAGACAAAGCACACAAAAATGTAGATTCATAGAATCCGTACAGTGCAGTTAGAGGCCATTTGGCCCATCAAGCCTGCAGTGACATCCTGAAGAGCATCCCGCCTAGATGCGGCACCCTACCCTATCCCAGTAACCCGACATTCAGAATGGCTAGGCCACTTAGCTTGCACATCTTCAGACACAGCAGATGCGACAGAAAGATGTGTGGTACAGATTGAACATGATGAGGCTAGTGAAAAAACAACTGGCTCAAGAGGGGATGAACAGCTTACTTAAGGGCATAGGTTTAATGTGGTTTTAAAAGTAAGGAGAATGTTTAAAGGAGATGTGTGAGGCAAGTTTAGTTTTAACATAAAGGGCAGTAGGTGCCTGGAATGCACTGCCAGAGGAGGTGGTAGAAGGTAGTAGATGTAGATATGATAGCAACATTTAAAGGCATTTAGACAGACACATTAATAGGCAGGGAATAAAGGGATACGGACCACAGGCAGGCAGAAAGGATTAGTTTATAATGGCATCATGGTCAGCGCAGACATGATGGGGTGAATGTCCTGTTCTACGTCCTGCTATTATTGCCATAAGGCAGCATGCCTCTTGTGCTGAAATCTTTAAGACTGCTCTAGCCCATTACCTTGTTTCCATGTAGTGCAATAAGTCATCTGGTGTCAAACACTTCTCTTGTCGATACAGATTGTAAGCTAGGAAATGAAATTTTATTCGGTAAATTCTGAACTTCTCCAGCCTGCTTTGAACCTGGAAGGAATCCTTTACCTCAATTTTGTGTAAAACCTGAAATGTATACAAAATGAAACTTTCAATTCCACAATTAAAGAAAGAAGTTGCAAAATAACAAATTTGAATTTTTGTAATAAAGTTCTGAAGCTTCATGTTGCAGGTGTTAAAATAGTTTGACTTATCCTTGAATACAGGGAATGGCAGCAGAAAGACAGAATAAAAGAAACAAAATCAGAAACAGGATAGATGACTAGACTCTCTTATCTAGAATATAAACAAATGAGAGATGATCTCAATGAAACTTACAAAATTTTTTAAACAGCTATGCAGGGTGAATGCAGAAAGAATGCTTCCCGAGCTGGGTAATCTAAAAATCAGGGGTCAGTCTTGGGATTAGACTGTTGGGGGCAAAGATGGGGAAATTCTTCACTTGGAAAGTAATGATTTCTCTATCCTGGAGGACTTTGGAACATACTGTCTGATCAAGTTTCAAGAAAGTGATCCACAGATTTCTAGACATTCGTGACATCAAGGGATATGGGAATAGTGTAGGAAAATGCCTTATAAGTAGATGTTCAGTCACAATATTGAATTGCAGAGCAGTCTCAAGGTGCTGAATGGCCTGTTTCTTCTCTTACATGTACAGAAAAATATTTGCATTTTCCAAAAATTCAGAAATGTTGCAGAGGCATCATTTGCAATTTCAGCACTTTTAAGAACATGGAATTGTGGAGCTATAATAAAGTCTGTTTTGTCACCAGGCTACACTCAAAATGCTTGCAAATCCCTTCAGTTAGATTTTACAGATGCAATGAATACATGTCCCATTTGTGTTTTCACCATGAGCAGGATAAGGTTTCTCACATCACTTTCTTGTGCATGTTCACTTCAACACTGTTGCAAAACTACTATACATGTTGGCACAAGTCATTTATAAAACAGTATTTTAATTGTTGTTATCCCATTGTGGGGAGAATATTGAAGCAACATCATTGTTTTTGCCCTTTGTGGAACTTGGCACTCTATACCAAAACTATCAATAACTAATCTTTAGTGACAATAGCAAAATACATGAAATGTTGGGTAACAAAGGCAAAAAAGGAACTGCAATTTTGAAACACTGAATAATGAGGAGACGATCTAAAAAAAAGTCTGCCAAGTTAAAAGAAATATAATCTCACTACTTTCCTCATCAGCAAAGGCTGACCTGTATTTGGCATTGAAACAGTTTTTACTTCTTTCACTCCCTCAACTTGGCCCTGTGAGGTAAGGCATCTGAAGGCATGAGAATCTACCTACACTACATGGGCTGCAGCGGTTCAAGAAGGCAACTCACCATCACATTCTCAAAGGCAACCAGGAACGGGCAACAAATGCTGGCCTAGCCAGCGACATCCAGGTCTCACGAGTGAATAAATAAAAATAAAATGTTAGGTTAATTTGCTGTGGTGCTCACATTGGTCCAAGTCCTTATGCCTGCTTTCTTGTTGGGGCAAATACCATAGTTTGTAAGAAATGCATATCTGGCAGGACATACAGGTAAACCTAAAAACACCACACCCACCAACCTCAAAAGTCCCACAAAACGATATCTCTCCCTCCACTGGAATTCACCCACAGCTGCTTTCACAGATTTAAAAATGCTTTGGAAATGGGTTCAATCTTAATTAGGAGGAGAAATGGCCCAACACTTAATTCTGGCATCAAAACGTAACCAGGCTGGGAAAGGAAACTGTCAAAATGATTGTAATCATGTAGGCTTATGAAAATAAATTATTCTTTCTTTCAACCATGATGTGGAGGTTCTGGTGTTGGACTGAGGTGGACAAAATCAGAAGTCACACGGCTTCACCTGATGTAGGAGCAGCGCTCCAAAAGCTTGTGATTTCAAACAAACTTGTTGGGCTATAACCTGGTGTTGTGTGACTTCTGACTTTGTCCACCCCAGTCTACACTGGCACCTCCACACCATGGCTTCCATCAACACCACAAACTGTCAGCTCAAAGTGGAAAGAATCTTCAAGAAGATCGCGCATATTGACACAGACATCAGGTTCCTGCAGAGATGCGGACACATGCAAGAAAGCAGACACTTCACCTGATGAAGGAGCAGTGATTTCAGATAAAGTTGTTGGGCTATAAGCTGGTGTCTTGTAACTTCTGATTTCTTTGAGCCAAATGAGAAGTCACCTAGACTACAAAAAAAGCAGATGGCTCCTTGAAGGCAGCTGGATAATATCCTTCCTTAGTCACACTTGATAGCTGTTACCTCATTGTTAGCAAAACCCTGAAGTTAGGAAATAAGTATGTCAGTCTAGGTGAGGGTGCTTCTTTGATGTGGAGGTCAAATATACTGAGCAGTCCAGGTAAAATAAGGATATAAAGGACTGGATGTTTACTAAGTAGGCGTAACACAGATTGCTCAACATAATTGGTCTAATTTCTTTTAAAATTAGAGATACTTAATAGGATTTCTGAACCTAAAACTCAATATCAGTTCTTACTTTAGTGCTAGTTTGTTTGGCGTTAATTTGTCTAGGTAGTGTTGACCAATATTCTTGCCACATAGAGTCCTTGAGTATATTTAAGGCTGAGATATTTTCTTTATCAGTCAGGGAATCTAAGGTTATGGGGATAGGGCAGAAAAGTGGACTTAAGGAGCGTCGGATCAAGCATGATCTTATTGAATGGTTGAGCAGGCTGGCGAGGCCAAATGGTCTCGTCTAGCTCCTATTTCTTATGGTCTTATGGACATTAGCGACTTATGGCATCCCATTCTTCTATGGATGCAGTTTCAGACTGTCTGCACAATTCACGACTATGCCAAAAATAGGTAGAAAATCCTGCTGGAGTAATGATCCTTAGCTTTAAAAATCTGAAATCTAGTTACCATTAAAATGAGGAACAGGAGGCTCCCATTAAAGGAAGTGAAATCTATTTTAACTTTTTCTTGCTCAACAGAACAGTCTCATGATTAGTTGCTATGTCTCAAAATGTTCAATGACAGAGAAGGCTACTTACAAAGTGTGCGGGGCACCATCACTCAGTTCTATTCTATTCCTCTAATTCTGATTCATTTCTATGAGACTATTACAAGATTTACTCTATCCTTTCCATATACTCTACATTGTGAGATGAATATGGTAACCTGAATGCCACAGGTTTCGTCTGCATTGAAACTCTAAAGGACTAATATTTGGTAACATAGAGTGTACGTACAGGAGTAAGCCATTAAACGCCTTCCCAGCCTCCTCCAACATTTCAAATGATTGAAATAAAACAAATAACTGCATGTGCTAGGAGATTCTTTAGAAGGATCACTGCACTCGAAACATTAACTTTATTTTCTCTCCACAGATGCTGCCAGACCAGCTGATTTTTCCAGTAATTTCTGTTTTTGTGTGTTTTGTAAGATTATGGCTAGCTGGGGTCTCAAACCCCACTTTCCTGCTTGCTCTCTGTAACCCACAACTCCCTTGTCTATGAAAAATCTAATTCTGCCTTGAATTAATTCAGTGACCATGCCTCAACTGCTTTCTGGTGAAGAGAATAGCACAGACTAACAACATACAGAAAATCTCACCTCATGTTCATGTAAAAAGCAAGATCTTTTATTTTAAAACTGTGTCTCTTATTTCTAGTTTTTCCAACAAAAGGAAGCATCCTTTCAGGATCCACCCTGTCAAGTTCCCTCAAGATGTTAAATGTTTCAATTAGATCAAGTCTCATTTTTACAAATTCCGATTGGTAAAGATTCAACCTGCTCATCCTATCTTTGTAAGATAAGCCCTTAGACTATAAGACCATAAGACATTGAAGCAGAAATTAGGCCATTCAGCCCATCGAGTTTGCTCCGCCATTCAATCATGGCTGATAAGTTCCTCAACCCCATTCTCCCACTTTTCCCTCATAACCCTTGAACCCCTTGATAATCAAGAACCTATCTATCTCTATCTTAAATATACTCAATGACCTGGCCTCCACAGCCTTCTGTGGCAGTGAAATCCATAGATTCGCCACTCTCTGGCTGAAGTTTCCCCTTATCTCTGTTTTAGAAGGTCTTCCCTTTACTCGAAGGCTGTGGCCTCAGGTCCTAATCTCTCTTACCAACGGAAACATCTTCCCAATATTCACTCTGTCCAGGCCATTCAGTACTCTATAAGTTTCAATTAGATTCCCCCTCATCCTTCTAAACTCCGTCGAGTATAGACATGGTATCCTGAAACATTCCTCATGTGTTAAGCTTTTCATTCCTGGGACCATTCTCTGAACGTCCTCTGAACCCACTCCAGGGCCAGTACATCTTTCCTGAGACATGGGGCCCAAAATTACACACAATACGCCAAATGTGACTTGACCAGAGCCTTATAGAGCCTCAGAAGTACATCCCAGCTTTTATATTCAAGTCCTCTCAAAATAAATGCCAAAGTTGCATGAGCCTTTCTAACTACTGACTCAACTGGCAAGTTTACCTTGAGAACTAGTTCTGAGGAAGGATCACCAGGCCCGAAATATTTTATCCTTCACAGATACTGCCAGGCCTGCTGAGCTTTGCCAGCAACTTTGTTTTTGTTGTTGTTGGTATCACTATGCCTTGTAAGCCAGCTGTCCAGCCAAATGAGCCATCAATTAATGTATAGAAGGGTGCCTCTGAAAATCAGAAAGTCTATCTCTGACAGACAGGAAAGCAGCTTCAGAAGTTAAGGTGTTACAATAGTAACAGACAGATCCAGGCAAATGATACTTCAATAGACAAGTTTACCTAGATGAAAAGAAGTGGGATTTAAATAGAGCTACCTGTGCAGATGGTGGGTTTACCCAGAAGCAATGGATCAAGGGGAATTATAAACAACATAACCTAAATTCTATAATTTATTTTGTCAATGAACCCTAAAAATGTATTAGTTTCACACAGATATGCTTCTAAAGTTAATAAACAACCACTAGTTCATGGCCTTATTGTCTGACAACTTCTTTGATAATTGGAATAAAAACTTTAAGTTGTTCTTTTAGAGCTGAATTTGATGGAACACAGAAAAGCTAATGTAGTTCAAACTCGTTGATGTAAACATATTTGGTAAACTAGATTTGTACATCACTAAATATTCGAGATAAACCACTTGATAAATTCAAATGGTTCCTTGAGGAGACAATAGGGAATAGAGAAGAGTTGTGACTTTATCTGATACCCTGGGTAAATATTCCCACTGGGAATCTATTCTAACATTCTTACAACTTCCAGTCTATCCACTGCCATTGTAATTGAATATTGTCCCTAGAAAGGAATTCAGTTCTATATTGGCCAGGTCTACGGTTGGCCTTGAGGGCTATAATCTCAGCTGTCCCAATTGGTCAACAAATTCCACTTGCTGCAGTTTGAAAGGATCCAGTACTGAAGAGATTCAAAGCTGTGACTGCATTACCTCAGGTAATGCACAATTTATCTGACTGTGCTGCATCAGGGATACAGCATGATTCCGCAAGTGTATTGCGACAAGGAAAGGACAAGCATGCCTTTGACTTCTGCTCTAATTCTTTATTGTACTGAAGCTAGTGCGGTATAAACAGATCTCTTCCAACACAATGATAGGTTCTGTGCATGCAGCAAATGTCAATTATCTCATCTTAGACTGCCTACTCACTCCTCTAGCTGATTGGTCGGTCATACAACTGATTGCTGGAGGAATTGCAATAAAGACTGCCCTATAAGGCTTTTATCTGTAATATTTCTGTTTAATTTTTTTAAAAGTCTGAACTTGTTCCTTTTTCTTGCAGAAGACAGGTCACTAAATAAAATTATCGGTCAGGTTTGCAATGTGGCTCACTTACACTTGCTAGAAGCTACACATATTCTCATTAGGGGCCTGGCCTCTGTGTAGAAAAAAGGAGTATTGTGTTATTTTGAATTAAACAAAAGCACTGAGAAGAATAGCCCTCTTGGACGTTCTCCATGGCAACACTTTGGTCAATCAAAGTCGACAAGCCAAACAATCAGCAACCCTTTTTTCATGCATCATAACATGTTACTCCCTTAAAAATTTGGCACACTTGCAAATATGTTGATGAATGCAAGATGAAAAGCTCTGGCAGCACATCTTATTTTTCAGCCATCTTTGTACACCTAAGATGCTTCAGAGGAGTACTACAAAACAAGCTTGAACATTGAGCCACGTAAACAGGTATTAGGTCAGATGACCAAAGGCTTGGTCAAAGAGTCACATTTTAAGGAGTGTCTTAAAGAAGGAAAGTGGGGCAGAAGAGGTTTAAGAAAGGAAATTCCAGAGCTATGGCCTCGATAACTGAAGGTAATGATAAAAACTTAGGTTGCTGAAGACACCACAATTAGATCACCAACTAACAACCTCCAAAATGTTCGTTGCGGCTACTTACAGTGCAACTCCCAGCATATCAGATATCAGATGTGGAAATAAATACATAAAGCTCAGTCATAAGCAAGTCAGTCAGCAAATATAACTAAAATAATTCAATCAAACTGAAAGACCAACTACAGGATTAAAACAAATTGGCAGCCAAAAAGTCACCGCACTCCCTTTAATAAATACAAATTCCCGGCAAGCTTTGATAGCATTCAGTACAGGACTTTTTGACATCTTGCCTTGCCACAGAATGTGACAGGAAACTGGCCTAATGCCTGCTCATTTGAACATATGATTCCCACCTCCACTCAACCCATGGCACACACTCAAACATGTAATCAGCCCCAGATTTTAATGTTAATATTTAGTGTGAGAAATACATCAGTCTACAAACTAAAAGTTGTATCTTTTGGACATTTTATATAGAAGTATAGAAAAGTATACAAGAAATATACCTACCTCTGACAAACACACCCTTGTGAGCTGCTTTTTCAGTTTTTTAACCTTCTTCAATGCTTTCTTTGTGTTCAACACAGGAATGCTCATCATTGGAGTTTTAATGTTAGCACTCGCCACCATGAGAATTTCACGCAACCTTTGTGAAAAGAAAAACTAGATAGATTACATTGTGTTAGTCATGCATAACAGTGCTGTACTTTGTTTACTGTGTGTATTGCTACATATAGATTAGGAGTAGAATAAAACATGCCTTCTTTGTCATTTAACCTCAACCACCCTACACCTGATCCCAAACCTTTGCCTTCTCCTTTCTCCATACCATCCCTCTCATTTCTATAGGTAGAATAACCTATAGGCTTTAACCAATAGAAACAACATTTCTACTATCCTTCGGTTCTGAACAGTATCATTCAACTCAAAACGCTAATTTTGTTTCCATGTCACAGATTGCCAGACCAGCCAAGCATTTAGAGAACAGTCTGTAAAAATTCCTCATACCTGGGGATACCCAATGTGACGTTCATCTCTCCTCTGCCAGCAAAATGGAAAGTGTTCAGTGTCATCTGTGTTGACGGCTCTCCGATACTTTGCGCAGCAAGGAGCCCAACAGCCTCTCCTGGCTCACATAGAGCTCGTTGCCACTTGAGACACAAAAGCTCCTTTAAACTAAGAAAGGAAGAGAAAGCTCCAATCAAGTTTTTAAACTGACTATAATCCAAATGGAATTTCCTCATCTTGTGCTTAGGGCTACTGGATCAGTAAGAAGGTGCAGTGTTTGGCAAGTCTGCCTAATTGGCCCCATATTTTCAACAGGGTCATCAAAAGAGCGGGAAAATCCACCATTTTAGCTTATGTATAAAGTATGATTTAACTAGAGGTGTTGTATAAATTCAAGAAAATAGTGTGGATCTTGATGAGTGCAACTAGCTGCACTCCTAGATTACAGAAAATAACTTTGTTGACTGTAGAATTCTGTGGGACATCTGAGGCTGTGAAATGCGTTAGAGAAATGCAATGTTTTATTTTCTTCAGCCCTCCTTTACATATAAAAATTGCATATTTAACAGGCCTTGCAGTCACAAACATTTCTCACCAGGCACTGATTGTTCCGTTACATTTTCACAAATTCAGTATCTTTTGGTCTCTGCAATTTACAACTCTGCTAATAGCGAAACTGGATGGAATCAGCAATGAATGTGATAACTTGTAAGGGCAAATAGCCTGACTCGCGTGTAACTGGGTGTTGCGACCTGTTTCAAGAGAAACTAAGTGGGGTGGGGCAATAACTTTGCCTATCACATATTTATGGATGGACACAAAAACAGACATCAAGTCCCACTACAGCAGTCTCAAAATCTGCAGACTGCAACAACTGACAAGATGCTGTGGGTTCAAGTGATAAGTAAATTAGGTGATAAACAGCCCTTTCACAGTGCGGTTATTAGTAGCAAGTGGCATAGGCAGTCAGCAGTGCAGACATCAAGGATATAAGGAGAGATAACCATACAAAGCTTCAAGCCTTACCAAATATTCAAAGGGAAAAGAAGTAAACAACTACCCAAAAAGAAAGGAAACAAAAGCAAGCTTAGACAGTGATAACTCTGGAGAACAATCATCATACAAGTGGCCACCTTAGTGTCTGGAACCAAGTAATTAAAGATCTCTTTTTACAGAGCTGTGGTGAGGTTTACCATTCATCATAATACTTAAGCTAGGTTGTGAGTCCTATGCCTTACTTGGTTTGATATGTATTAGTAGCTGTTTGTTAATCAGTTGTAGCCAGAATAAAGGATTATTGAATAAACTGAAATGTCTAAGTGATCATGTCAGTTGAGGTACAACAGTTAACAGTGAAAATGGACTGCACTGCCAGTGAAATTGAATTGTACTACCAGTGAAGCTGGTCTGAGCTGGGAGGAGGAAGGCAGCAGTGGTGATAACGTCATTGGACTAGCAATCCAGAACCCCATTTTAATATTCTGGGAAAACAAGACAACAAGGTGCAGGGCTGGATGAACACAGCAGGCCAAGCAGCATCATAGGAGCAGAGAGGCTGACGTTTCGGGCCTAGACCCTTCATCAGAAAAGGGGGAGGGGAAGGGGGTTCTGAAATAAA